TCAGATAAGAGTTTGTCAGTTCCCCACACCGCACTCAGTTATCCACTTTGTTTCCCAGGAGTGCTTCACGCCGTTCATAAACGGCAGCTTCTTCGACCACGACGGCCAGCCGTACTGCGAGGCCCATTACCACGAGCACCGCGGCTCCCTGTGCTCCGGCTGCCAGAAGCCCATCACCGGCCGCTGCATCACCGCCATGGGCAAGAAGTTTCACCCGGAGCACTTTGTGTGCGCCTTCTGCCTCAAGCAGCTCAACAAGGGCACCTTCAAAGAGCAGAACGACAAGCCGTACTGCCACGGCTGCTTCGTCAAACTCTTCAGCTAGACCGCATGCCGGCTGCGTGTGCAGTGAGCGTGAGAGCACGAATGCACAAGGGGGATTAATGCACACCTACGTGCATCTAAAACGCATTACAATGAGGGTAGAAATGTTTCTATCAGGGATGACACTGAAAGGGACTTCCCTGGATTTGCCACCTTTTACGCTTTTACTAAAGACCTTTTAACGGAGCCCAAAGAGATTTTCATTTCAATTCCTGTTCCCGAGTGTGCCAGGAACGAGAAAGAAACGTGTTACTTTCTCCTTGGTTGTGTATAAATGATTAAGTTTGATCTGTAAAGTATTTCCCCCACCCCCATTCAGCAGGGAAAGACCTTGCGTCACTTGGTGGTTGGCCTGTGTTGACATGGTTTTCTGCAGATCTGAGACTGCTGCTTGATTGCATGGACCACTGGGAGTAGATATAGACGGTTTTAAAGTACTACGAGTGTTTTGGCGTGCAGCTTTTGGACACCGAGTGGTTATCAAAGATGTATTTTTGTAACTTTGGAAATTTCTGAGGTGCCATTTGGAATAACTGAACCACTTTTTGATATGTATATGTACACAGAAACGTTCCGCTTTCTTCTCCAACACAGAGCTGTTTGATCACTTTGACTCCAAATCTCACATCCTACAAATGTGTTTCATATGTCCGTGTCAGTTAGTTCTTATTTTTTGTACAGATTTCATAAGAAAACAAGTATTTTACATTTTCAACACACCCTTTGACTTTTTTAAATATTTAACAAAATAGTTAAATCAAACATTGACAGCTTAGACTTAAAAATGGAACCTAAAATTATCTTGGAAAATCCTGATCAGTCCATCTATAACCCTATCCTTTATCAATAAAAAAAAAAAAATCAAAATATGAGCTCTGAAAAATATTTTAATGGTTATGCATATATGGTAGAAAATGGTAAAAGCTAAATGCCTATCATGAATATAATTTAAAATCCAATTTTTCAGAATTTGACCTGCTGACCATTGAACTAAAGCATCCAACCTTTGGACAATCAATCGGTACATCTTTTTTAGCTCGATAATTCACAGAAAAACGTACTGAGCCATACCTTGTTTTAAATTTAATACATCATCATGTGTGTTGTGCCATTTCTATTCATAATGAGAATATAAAAACTTGTGTTTTTTAATCTACTTCAAAAAATATATATATATATATATATATATATAAAAAATCACATGGTGAGATCTGTTTTAAACTGCAGGTGCATTTTATGAGGAAAAACAGTCAAATTGTTTAGAAATTGACATTTTCTTGCTGTATTCGCAGTTATTCAATTGTAGAACTATATTTTTAAAATATTTTCAGCATTTTACAGTTTCAGCTTGTGTGCATTTATCACAGTTCTAAATGCATCTTTACAAACTAGTTAAAGGTTTACAGTAAAGTTGTGCGTTTTGATCCGAAGCATGCAATTTCTTTTACCTGGAGATTAACAAGCACCAGCTGTCAGTTGCTGTTACAATCATCTACATTTCTACACCTCGAATATGCTGAACCTCGTTGGTTTTGATCAAAAATGTGTGTGTGTGTGCGTGCGTGCGTGCGTGTGTGTGTGTTTCGGAGCAGGTAAAGGCTCACTCTGGTATGCAAAGAGCTGGCTCTGTTAGCATGTAGCCTACTGTAACGTTAGTCGGTCTCATTCCTTCAACACAGACGGACACATGACAGAGGAAATGCAGCCTGCCGTGTCTTTGTTGTGAATCGTCGTCATCCTGAGGTATCGGTTCAAAGGTCACTGATGGAAGCTGGATGCTAGTCTTTACTGGTCAGGAATCAGAGTAAGACCCTAAACGAAGGCCAGGCCTTTAGGGGGAAATGTACATGTTGACCTTTTCTATCTTTATTTCAATCAAAGCCTCTTTTTGTGTGAAATCAGCCGTTAGATTTAAGTATTTTCAGCAAGATGATGCCGTTGCCTTCGGTTTTACAGTGTGCAAAAAGTTTGTACAAAAACTCCAGACTTAGGTTGACTTAAAGTGTTTTTCTTGTGCCAAATGTGTCGATGCAATAACGTCTCTGACACTGTGGAGCTCTCAAGCCTTTTCTGTGATTGTTTTTTTTTTCTTTATATTTCAATTTTGAGCTAAACTCTGGGAGTCATGTTGCATTTTTAACTGAACTATACACTGTAACAGGCGAGACGAGGAGGAGCTTGCTGTTTGCTTAGCACACGTCATTATGGCGTTCACATGTTCCTGATTGGGATGTGATGGATGTAGTGGAAGGGGGTCGTGGGCGCCGCCGCCGGAGGAAAACGTCCTGGGTTTGCTCACGTTTGTTTATCTCATTTTCAATTTGCCTTACATTTTCTGCTTCTGTTGGACAATTAATAAAAGGGGAAAAAATAAACCAACAACAATGCTTTTTACTTTTAATCCAACTATGTGAACTTTGCTTTGTAAATGGAGTCAACATTCATGTAGCGCTTGGCTATCTGAATTTCCTCGAGCTATAAATATGTGTGGGTGAGGTGCAAGCCTTTGTGGGTTCTGATTACTGATTGGTGAATCTCTGCAAATAAAAGAGGAAAAAGTATTTATATTTCTGTCTTCATCGTATCTGTTCCTTTTTTGCATTATAAACAATGTTTGAATTTTCATTGCCACAGCTGAACAGTCAGGTGCAGAACGTACGTCACAAATCCGACCTTTAAATATGAATAAAACTGAAGGCGCTAAACAGCATTTAGCCTCAGATGTCTATAGGTCCAGACAGAAAATTTATGATAAATTCACACACTAAAAAAGCAGCTTATTACACTTTAAAGCAAACAAATGTTATTTTAATAGTTCAAAAGAAGCAACTGAAACCACAACTTAACCTTAGAGAAATGAGGTTTGCATTATAAATCCACCTCATTAACTCGTGCTCCTTTTTTAATTCCCATTCGAACTGGCTCAGGGTTTGTCCTGCAGTTTAGGAAACTTCACACTAAGACAAGGCATCAAAGGCTGGAACATCACAGCAAGCATTTTACTTGAACAAAGCGCAGAAAGGGAACGAGCATGAATGAAACGAAAGTGTGAAGAATTGGTCACTGGGATCTAGATGTGATGAAAGCAAAGCAGGGAAACTCCTCTTTACCAGTATGCATGGCAATATATTGGTACAAAGACAAACAGTTACATTTTGAATGAAACCACGAGTTTGGTCTGAAGAGTTTTTACAGGTAACCATGTCAACAATCTGACAATACCAAGCTACTCAGATGAAGGCCACATATTCTACATCACTGCAGTGGGATCGGTCAAATGGTTCAGTACACTTGATGAATACACTCGCACAACATCGGGTCACTGTGGCGAGGAGAGGAGCCGACATGAAGTCTGTTTTTTGTCAGAGCCCGAAGCTCGTCACTAAGATGCAAAGGACTCTGCGCGCCATCCAGGATCTCCAGGTGTTCCAGGTGCTGAAGCCGGTGGAGATGCAGGAAGTCTTTCTCAGGCACACTCTCGTGGCGGAGCTTGAGGCTCCTGAGCTTTGGAAACAGCACTGGGATCTGAGCAATGTTCACTCTCTGATGTGAAGGCCTGGGGTCTACGTGAAGATGGAGGAGATTCGGCAGCTGCGCCGATATGGAGGTCATGTCTTCTGAAGACAACACAGAGCTGCACAGCGCCAGGCTGGTCACGGTGGCTGGGATGGACGTGACGTACGTCTTAACAGGTGGGCCTCTGGTGACGGCCAGCTTGGTCAGCTTGGGGAGGTCTTGCAGCCATTTGTTCAGGAGAAACACAAGGTGAGAACTTGCTGACGGCATCATCCGTTGATGATCATTTCCAGAAAAAACTGAAAGGCTGTTCAGGTGAGGCACCTTCTTCATTGTGTTCACTGGGAAAAAGTGATCAGAGTACTGGATGAGTTCCAGAGTAGACAAGGAGGAGATTCTTTCATTAAGTGGTCTCTTTGGCACGTAGACGCAGGCACGCTTTGACGACAAGGAGAGGTCCTTGAGGTTAGGCAGATAAGAAAGTATGGTTTCCATTATCCAGATCGGCTCCACTGAGGTGCCAGAGTTATGGCAGGTCAGAGATGTGAGATTTCTGAGATGGGAAATAAAAGGAAGGAAGCTGGATTTAATGGGGAACGTTACATCACACAGACTGAGCTGAGTGAGCTGCTCCAGGTGAGTCCGCTTGTGTGCGTCTATCACCACGTCGCTGTTTCTTATAGCCAGGCGCTCCAGGTGGGGGAAGTCTTTACCGAAGCCCAGGTTCTCCATGACGCTTTGCTCCAGAACCAGCGAAGAGAGATGGGGAAGTTCCGAGCAGAGCTGCCTCCAGTCCTTGGCTCTGGGGCTCCTCACCACCATGCTGGTGACTTTCCTACGACGCAGAGAGTTCCAGAACCGCTTGGTGTAGGAGCCACTTTTAAAAGTAAGGACAACAGTCCAGCCTCTCCAAAGAGACCAGTGGTCGATGAGTTTCCTGAAGTACTTGCAGCAAGCCCGGATGCTTAGTTTGTCTGACACTGATAGATAGCTGAAAACATGGGTCCAGATCTCAGCCGGAAGGTGCGGAGGAGGTCGTTCCATCCTTGTGTCCAGGTGAGGGATAATTCAGCTAGCTTACGGATATAAATAAAAGTATAACTCACTTCTGGCACCACGCTAGTTGCTCGATGTTGACACGGAAGCACCATGAGCAGTGTCAGATGATTGCAATGAAAGTGAGCAGCATCAGGAATCGTCACCACGTCAACTCTGGCGCCATGTTGTGAGTGGCGTTTAAGGCGATATTATTATTGTTACATACTTGTAATAAGTCTAAAATATGTCTATAATAAAATTATCGTTAGCATCATTACGATTATTATTAATTCATCTTAGTCTGTCCGTTTACAAATTCTAATTCAAAAATACTTTATTGATCCCAAAGAGATCTCATATTGTTGTAGCTCATATTAATTCAAATTCTTCAAAGACTTATTGTAGGTAGTGAGGGTTGATAGCTGTTTTTTACTCGGTGGATGGTTTTACCAGCGTTTTGACATCTATTTGTAATTTCCACTTTACATATGTATTTTCAACAGAACATTGGTCCTGGGTGATATTTTATCACCCAACCTGCTCTATAACACTGGATTGTAAACAGAATACGTAAAATAATTATTTGGTCATTATAACTGAAAGTAAATAAAATAATAAAATTCAGAGATTTGATATATTTTCAGGGGTAAAGCAATTAAACCACACTCACTGTCTTTTGCTATGTCTTTTTTTATTTGCTGAGGTCACTATTTTTTGTCTCGCAACTCTTTGTACTAAAACGAACATCTATTACTAAATACAAAAAATGATTTCGCAAAAATACTTATTAAGAAATTTATATTGTTTTTATTATGGTTAATTTGCCACTCAGTGATGGCGTACCTTTTGTGCCAGGAAATGAGGCCAATCACACATCTTCTTTCTCCGTCCTGTCCCTTTTCTTTGCTCTGATTGGTCACTTCTGTCAAATATAAGCGTCGGTCGACCCACGTATTTCCTCTTTCTTTCACGCGACCCTAACGCTCGGTGAGTTGATAGTGACTCTCTCTCCAAGCCGAAATAAAATGATGCCAAGTCGAGTTGTATGTTGTAAAAGAGTCATATTGAGTGTATAAACATCTTCGCACCCTATCTCAATGTATTTATTAATCCTATATTGGTTGTAAAAGCATTTTTAGTTACCGAGGCCTTTCAGGCTGTTGCTAGCTTTCGGTTAGCCGGCTAATGTTAGCTGTGGACCGCATGTCCGCCAGCTTCTGATCGGCTCATGTATTTTCGTCTTGTTCTCTCAGAACATTTTCATTTCGATGTGTTTCTTCTTTACAGATTATACCTTGTCTTTAAACCAGCTGCTAAGCGATCCCTGGAAGCACATTCAAGATGCCCAGGGAAGACAGGGCCACGTGGAAGTCCAACTACTTTCTGAAAATTATCGTAAGTAGAATTTGATACACACGCTGCTTTCAGCTTAAAACATCTCCCTTGTAATGATCCGTGTCTTGACATGCAGTGGTTTGTTGCAGCAACTCTTGGATGATTACCCAAAATGCTTCATCGTGGGGGCAGACAACGTGGGCTCCAAGCAGATGCAGACCATCCGCCTGTCTCTGCGTGGAAAAGCCGTTGTGCTCATGGGGAAAAATACCATGATGCGCAAAGCCATCCGTGGTCACCTGGAGAACAACCCTGCTTTGGAGAAGTGAGTGACTTAAAGGATTATGTTCTGATCTAGCAGGACAACTACTGTACAGCTGCTGCAGTGCTGTATTGTCGTTCCCCCTGCTAAAAGTAACTTGTCTCCAGCTATCCCTGTCTGTCTACTACCCCGACTGCCAGGGACGCAAGGTCTCAGACACTAAGCCGTTTTTTTTTCTGCTCTGTGCAACTGTATTTATTACCTTGCATGTATGTAATATGCAATTGGATTTAATTTCACAGGCTTCTGCCCCACATTAAAGGCAATGTGGGATTTGTCTTCACCAAGGAGGATCTGACTGAGGTCCGGGACTTGCTGCTGGCTAA